CGCCCAAATCGCTTTACCCGGCGCCTCCCCGCGCCCCGGGGCCGCCACGCCTGGCTCCCCGCCGAGTAACGAGGGGGCGGAGGACAAAGATCCTGATACACAGGAGAAGGGAACTAGCAAGCGGGGTTGACGGGTCTCTACGTCCCCACCTCTGCGGGGGGCGGGGGGTGCTGCTTGGCCCGGAGGGTGGGCGGCCTCCACCGTCGGTCGCCTCAGCCTCTGAGAGCAGATGATCTTCCCCAAAACACGCACAACCAGGTGGGGATGCAGCCTCGAAGGGGCAGGGGGTTGGGGTGCAGCTTTCAGCAAAGCCCCGACTGCGAGGCACGGCCGGTCTATAAAACCAGGACAAGGAAGTGAGACTTCCCAACCGCGGAGCCTGCAGGAAGGGTGGCTCCTGCGCCCGCACCAGCCACGCGGCCCCCATTGTCGGCTCCCGGTGCAGGTGTGTGCTCTCCTTCCTGCCCTTCCACCCGCCTCCGCTAAACGCGAAGGGAGAGCCCCTCTTACCCTGCTCGGAGGTAGCAGCATACAGTCCCTTCATTCGTTCAGTACTTGGCAGTTTGTAAACCCTTCCTACTTACGTTTCATTTGGACAGAATGTGAGTCAAGCTGCCTGGGCTTGATGGCTGCCTCCGCCATTCACTGACTGGTTGTACTTGGATGCACTCGGGTCAGCTGGCATCACTTCGCTGTGCTTAGCTTCCTGGTCTATAAAACAGGGCTAATACTAGAACTCATGTAGGGGGGTTATTGTGAGGATGAAGTGACTGGTGCATGTACTGTGCTGGTCCCTGCACCCTGTTAACAGTTATGATGGAGTGAGCCTCCTTCATAGATGAACTTTCCAGACTCCTCCAGGTGTCAAAGGGCAAAAGAAGCTTAAAGCAACACTTTTTGACTGACAGGTGCACACAGCGCCCCTAGAGATCTTGCTAAAATGCAGATTCTGATTCAGTACATGGGGGTGGGCGCTGTCTGAGATCCTGCAAGTCTGACCAGCTCCCTGCTGATGCTGCCACCAGAACACCCTGTTAGCAAGATCTCAGGGCCAGGGCAGTGGTTTGTAAACTTGACCGTGAGTCAGAATCACCTGGAGGGCTTGTTAAAACGGATCTCTGGGCTCCACTCCCAGAGCCTCTCATTCAGTGGGTCTGGGGTGAGTGAGGCCCCAGGACCTGCATTTCTAACGGTTGATGTTGCTGAGGACAGAGAACCTGTTTTAGAGCACCTTGCCCACGACTAATGCCAAGCTGGGGGGTGAGCTGGGTTTTATTCCCAAAGGCAGCTTCTTGTGCTTTGGGAAGAAAACCGTGGGGGTGAGGGAGCTGGCACCTAAAGTTGGGAGCCAAAAAACTTCCCATTTCTCAGGGGGTTAAGACACTCGAAGGAAAGATAAAGGGACAACGTGGGTTCTTTCTCAGCATCCTTTCAAAGTAAGAGAGACAGGAAAAGGCTGCCCGGCTGCTTCGTGACCAAAGAAAGGGAACCGAGGCCCTTGAGGTTTACGTCTTCCTGTTTGGGGCCCTCTCTCCCCAGACAACCAGGAGAACCGAGGAAAACCGGAGGGCGGCAGCAAGGCCCGCAAGGAGAGGACGGCCTTCACCAAGGAGCAGCTGCGGGAGCTGGAGGCCGAGTTTGCTCACCACAACTACCTGACGCGGCTCCGGAGATACGAGATCGCCGTGAACCTGGACCTCTCCGAGAGGCAGGTGGGAGCTCTGGGGACGCCGCTCCTCTTCTGGGCATCCCTCCTCTCCTTGGCTCTCTCACCCCCTCCCTTCCCACCACCCCTCCCTGAGTCTCCACGTCTTCTCCCTCTGCCCAGGCCAATGGACCTCAACTGTGGCTGTACCTGGGAATCACCTGGGGAGATTTTAATAACACTGATGGGACTGGTTTTATGGGACTGGAATAGAGTTCAGGCACCAGAGTTTTTTAAAGGTCCCCCAGGGTGATGCTCACGTGCATCCAGCATTGGAGCCTCTGATCTGGTTATTCTCAAACTGAAGTGCGATTGGAATCACCTAGGACTAGGTGCTTGTTTAAAGAATGTGGATCTGGGAGCTCCAGAGAGTGGCTTTGCAATAATAACGAGGGGGCCTGGGATCTGCATTGCTAATAAGTTCTGCAGGTGGTTCCGGTACGGGGCTGGTTCCTGGGCACACACTGAGAAGAACTTCCTAGCCCTTTGTTTGGGCTTTCCCTTAGAGCATTCCACCCACACCCATGCTCTGACGTAGAGTAAAGTATACTAATAATAATGATGATAATAACAATAGTATTTGATAGCGCTCTGCCAGAGTCCTGGATTTAGAATCAGAAGACTTAGATTCAAATCCTGCCTCTACCACTTCCTAGCCCTGTGACCCTTGGGACATGTCTCCCACCCCTTCTGGGTCTCCATCTGTAAAACAGGTCATCACCCCACTCTTGATGAAGCTCCGATGAGAAGATGTGCAAAGCAGAGTTACTAAGCTTTGTAAATGTGCCTAAAGATGAGGCTGGTCAACCTTTGCTCCCAGGCCCTTGGGTCACAGAAGCTAGAGGGAGGGGGTAGTAGCACAGGAAGGGCGGGGCATGGGAGAGGGGGTGGAGCCAATGACGAGTGACTTGTAGAAACTGCCCCCATGTGTGCCTAGGACTTTTTTTTATCTGGAGACACAAGGCGGGCCTCTGAGCAGATTGGTGTGTCCTCCCTTTGGTCTCTGTTCCTGGAGCCTCTGGAGGAGTGAGGAGGGACAAGCAGTGTTGAGAGCTGGGGTCCCGGGAGCTGCCCCCTGGCCAGCTGGAGCATCAGCTGGGGTGGTCCTTGTCTTGACCCGGCTCCTTTGCTTCCTCTGTCAGGTCAAAGTGTGGTTCCAGAACCGAAGGATGAAGTGGAAGCGTGTGAAGGGGGGTCAGCCCATCTCCCCTCATGGGCAGGACCCCGAGGATGGGGACTCTGCAGCGTCTCCAAGTTCAGAGTGAGATTCTCCATGGAGAATAAAAGACTGAGGACGGAGCCCCTACCCAGCTCCCCCAGCCCAATCCCACTGTCACCTTCTTCCACCTACCCCAGGGCAGCCTTTCCACATCTTGCAGTGACCCTTGGATATGAAGCTGCCTAGTGTTTCCGGGAGCCTTGCAGTTTTCCAGAAAGTTCTGTCCAGCATTGCTGTCTTAGCTACCCCTTTCCCAGGGCCTTTTCTTCCCACAATTCTTGTGACTCATTCAGCGGCCAGGTCAGACCTGAGTGAATCCGGGGAGCAACTCCGGGGACACTCCTTCTTGGGGTCTCTTGGCTGCTGCCCACACCTTCCCCTCCCACCTCCTCCTACATCGGCCAGGCCTCCTCCAGGTCTGAACACCACCTGGCCTGCTGGGAGAGGAGCCTTGGGACCAGCTGGTGACTCATGAAAGCTAATGCTTCACAAGAAAGGAAATGACTGAGACAGACACACACACACCGAGACCACCTTTCCTTTCTGGGCTCTATAGCTGAGCCTTTGGGGGCCCTGAGTTGTCCCCAAACCCCTGGGAAAATCAGTGTGAGGAGGGCTGAGGACAGAAACTCAGCTGCTGCAAATCAGAAACCATCCCTGCCTCCGAATGTGTTGGCTGTTAGGTGGGCAAGTGTATTAGCACTGGCTGGAAGAAGACAGCGGGGAAAACATCCTGGTGTACATCTCTGTGGTCCTGTACAGGCCCGTTCACACTGGCTTAACTTGTGGGGGGGCGGGGGGGATGAGAATGGACCCCAGGACACCACCTGCTTTTTCAAAATTAATTCAGAAATACAGCTGGGGCTGTTGAGCAGCGTCCAGAACAATGGAGCAGGTATTCCTTTTAAATCCACAACTTCTGGATTGAAAAACTATCCAGATGCTCGCATTATTGAACCGAGGGCTGGAAAGTGTCCCCTGTGTTCTCGGGCTGCTGGGCAAGGGGCTGGAAATGTTGAACCCGGGAGAGCAAGGTTCCCCAGCTGCAGAGTCCTGTGCTTTCACAAGATTAACTGCAAATGGGGACAACAAAGCAACCCCCCTTTTCTCCACGGGATGCATTTGAGCCCCTCCGCTGTGTACCACACAAATGCTACTTTTATGGGAGGAGCTGCTAAGTTTATGGGTGTGGACTGCCCATGTCCTCTGGGGTGACAGTCCAGGACTGATGGCCGAACAGCCTGGGACAACTGAAGCCTTGGAGAGGGACCCCCTGCCGGCCCCAGCGCTCCATCTCCCGTACCAGCTGCTGTCGCAGAGGGAGGTCAGCAAGAGTTTGGATCTCTTGTATGTATATTTAATCATTCACTTGTAAAAAGAACCCCACCTCCCCCTCCCAAAAGGACGACTGTGGTGGGAAATGATCGCCAAATGAGATGGCTGGTTAGAGCATGCGTAATTTCTTTCTAAATCATACTTCATCTATTTTCTTAAGATTACATCAAGGTAACTGTGCGAGGTCAATTCACTTAGTAAGAAAACGCTTGGAAAAATAAAATCAATAAAAGAGCAAAGCGCCCACACCTTTTTCCTTGCGGAGCTAAGAATCACAGCTCTGTGTGCAATCCTCCGGTGCGCCTGTGATGATGGACCAATGTGTAGAAGCAACAAAAAGGGGGAGCAGTCATCTAGAACAAGGTAGCCCCCTTTAGGATCTTCAGAATGGGGGCAGGGGTGCAAATGTAATGGTTGCCTAAAAAACAAAAATCTTTCTCCCCATACAAACTGCATTGTCTTATTTCCCATTGTAAAATGTTAGCTTTCAGCTTCCTTATCCTCTGGCTTATTGAATAGTCAAAGTTCTGTATACAAAAGATGAACTCTTTTGTTAATAAAGAAATCTTGACCATAAACTAACCATCCCTAATTTTTAAAATCAAAGTTTGGAGGTTTTGTTTTTCAGGGTAAAACAATATACGTCAATAGTAATAAAAATAACACAAGAAAAAAAAATGTCCCTAATTCTATGTCTTTTTAGTTAAAAAATATTTGTCTCACTGAGATGTCAATGATGGACATACTAGGACTGGCTCGAGAGGGGAGGGAGGGAGGGATCCAGGAGAGGAGACCTGGCCAGTTATTGGCTTTGAGGCCATGGGCAGAGACCAGAAATGACATCATCAGGAGCTGGCAGAGGAAAGCAGACCCACCAAAATCAAGGTGCCACAGAGAAGGTTCAGGTCCAAAACTAAGCAAAACAGACCCCTTCAAGGACTCTAACACTCCCTCCTAGCTTCAATCCAGTAGCTTCAGAGGACATTGGCCTCTCTCGGTTTCCTCATCTTTCCAGAATGTTCCTTCTATGTCTCCAGGTAGACCCCTTTCTCAATGCTGTTGACCCCCTGCTGGTTCTCCTTCTGTCCACTGCCTTCCCCCTCCTCAAGCTCTCCCAGATGATCCCATCTACCTACATTTTTCTATTGTGGTAAAATATACAAAACATAAAATGTCAACCATTGTTCAAGTACAGTTCTGTGTCATTAAGTACTGTCACATTGTTGTGCAACCATGGACACTTTCCTCTCCCGAACTTTTTCATCTTCCCAAACAAATTCTGTGCCCGTTAAATATAACCACCCTTCCCTCCTCCTTTCCATCTACCTACATCCATACAGTGTTTACTCCGTGTTGGGCACTGTTCTAAGGGGTGGCACTGGTATTCCTGTCTTATAGACGAGATAACTAGGGCAGAGCCAAGGTGACTAAACCCCCAGGTTTTATAGCCTGTTAGTGGCTGTGGTGGAGCATATGATGGGGCCCAATTAGTCTCCTCCTTCTCCACTAGGGGAATACAGCCCCCTGGCCATTGCCAGAGGCTGTACCTCCGAGGGGAGGAAGGTACTTCTCTGCGTCACTGAATCCAGGCTTGTTCCTGTGACCTGCTTCGGCCAATAGAAAGTGAGCAGAAGCGCCGGCAGAAGTTTTAGAGCCATCCTGTGTCTCTGCCATTGCTCTTTTCCCTCTGAATGTGGCTGAGAGGAATTCCACCAATAGCCTGGGCTGCAGAACCCACGACCTTCATATATGTCAGTGAGGATATAAAAGTCTGTTGTAAGCCTCTGGGATTTGGGGGTCATTTGTCACCGCTGCACCACCTCATGAAAACTGACTGTTGCAGTGATGACATTGGGATTTGAATCCTGGCATTCTGGCATCTGGCCAGCACTTCCCTATACCCCACCTGGGAGCTTCAGGTTTCATATTCCTCTGCCTACTTCCCTTTGCTACCTGGATGGCTACAGGCACCTCGAACTTAAAATACCTGAAGGGGGAGTCTCCATTCCCTCGATGAGGCTGGCTCCTTGGCCTGCATTCTGAATCCTGTATTGTAGTTGGCAACACAACAACCTACCCATTCACTCGTACTGGAATCCTGGGACGCATCCTTGATGCTCACTTCTTGGCTTTGCAGAATCAATCAATTACCTGGTCCTGCTCACTTCACTTCCTATGTAGATCATTCTCATACCCACTGCGTTCTTGATCTTTGCACCACCATGGCCTTTGTTCAGACTGCCAACATCTTTCAAAGTTGTGGCTCCTCAAAGTCCATCCCCTAGAGCGGGGGTGGGGAATGTCTGGCCCGAGGGCTGTATAAGCCCCAAGAAATCATTTGGTCTGGCCCTGCCAAGGCATTAGGGGTGAGTTAATTAAATGTTTGACCAAATATAGCAGGCTAATTTTTAAGTTGATAATGTTGTATGCCCTGAGAATCTTACCTAATAATAGACAAACATGTAAATTAACCATCCCTCCGCTATGCTCACCAGCCAATCAGGAGAGTATGCAAATTAACCCAACAAAGATGGCGGTTAATTTGCATACATAGGGGCGAAGCAGCGGAGCAAAGACTGAAGACTCTGTGCAGAGCCGCAAAGACTGAAGGCCCCATCCGGAGCCGTGAAGACTGAAGGCTCCAGCCGGAGCGGAGGCCTGTGTCCCGGGTGCCGGAGGAAAACCGGTGCTGGCAGCCAGGGAAAGGGAAGGCCTATTGCACGAATCTCTTCGTGAAACAGGCCTCTAGTGGTGTTATAAATATCCAAATGGCCCCTGGCAGAAAAAAGGTTCCCTACCCCTGCCCTAGAGCAATCACATGCACGCACACACACAGACACACACAAGCATATACAAATCCATGTCACCCCTGATTTAAAACCTATCAATGGCTTCCTATCACCTACAAAATAAAGTTTTAAAACCCTACACAGGCCTCCAGGGTCCCCATGCTCTGCCCACTACCTACCTTGACCCACCACCCCTACCACAAACTCCATTCTCCAGCAATACCAAGCCACCTGCCTTTCCACATGCACACGCCAAGTGGTTTCTCTCCTATATTTTGCTCATTCTCCTCTGTTTGGACACCCAGACCAAGGACTTTGGCATTTTAGGAGCAACTAAAGGGACAATTCGAAAGGAACACAGAGGAAGTTTTAATGTGTCAATAAGGCTCAACTAATTTTCAATAATAGGCAATGCCCGACATCAGTCAGCACCATTAGCCAATTTCTAAAATCAATAGAAAAAAATCTCTTTTGATATGAGGATTTTAATTTCCCCAATAAACAGAGTTAAAAAATCCATTGAGGGGAGTCTGATGGTGAAATTAAAGGTGCGCGCACACATCAATCAAGTGTTTTCTGGTTCTTTTGAACATTTGCGGATATTAGTGATGACCTAACTCGTCTCTCACCATCGGCCAGTTTAATCCCTTACAACTAATCCCTTACAACTACCAATGCATCATCCCTGAGCTCCTCCCACTCTTCCGTGTTGCCGTGTGATTGACCAGCGCTGGCTGAACAGTAGCAGCCGGAACCAGCTGCTTCTCTAGTTGGTGAAAGTCCTCTGCTCTTCCTGGGGTGCACATCTGTACCAGGAAAGCAAGGCCACCCCACTGGTGACTCCCTGATGTGAACCAGTGACTATGACCGGAAATGGTGGCTCAGTAGGAATCCAAACCACCAAGAATTCCCAGACAGTAACTTGTCAGTAATGGGTTTCTCCATCCTTGAGAGAGCATCAAGGACGAACGAGTGTGTGGCTGCCCTTTGGAGAGAGGCAGAGAGAAGAAAGAGATGAAGCAAGCAGGGGATCCATTTCTAAATGAAAGGGCCTTGGGGCGGCGGGGGGGAGGGAGAGTGATGCTCAGGGCTTCAGAAATCTACCCACCTGCCTGGGCCAGGCCCTGCAGTGGTAGCATATTTTTCTACAGCTCTCGTGTTCAAAGAGGACCAGTGTCAGGCAGAGATCCACTCTTTCCTATCTGGACCCCCAAAGCGCCACAGTCCCAGTAACCAGGAGAGCTCATGGTGGGCAGCTTTCTTTCTTCCATTGAGTGGAAATGTTTTCCATTAAGAGTTATATAACCTCCAGCCAGGCAGAGGGGCCTGTGCCAACTAATCTCTCACAACTACCAGTGCAGCAATTGTCAATTGCCTCCTCTCTCGGCCACACCGCACTGGGCTCTCGCCATGTGCCTTCTCTCGGTGGTTGCCTTCTCAGTCCCATTTGCTGCAAACCATCAATAGACACCTTCAGAAATACCTCAAACCCATGCCCTTCTCTAATGCCACCATCATCCCTGGCCACTACTGTCTTTTTATCTCTGTCTTTCCACCTTGTGTGTGTTCCTTTATGGCCCGTCCCACAATTTGCAATTCTTCTATTTGCTGTTTGCTTATTCATTTGTGGTCTGCTTTGTAAGCTGGAGGGAAGAAAAGGAGGTGTGCGTCTCTGATCATTTTATTCCCAGCTGCTAAGAAACAGCATTTGACCTGCAGTTGCAAAGAAACAGCGTTCAGGGCCCGCCTGACCTGATAAGGGGCTTGTGAGCAGCTTATGCGAGTCTCTGAGGGTGATGCTTAATAGCTGGAAGGTGACATCAGGGTCGGGACTAATATCCGATTGAACAGAAAGAGACATGACCTAACTCGTCTCTCACCATGGGCCTGGCTGCAAGAGCTTCTCATTCTTTATTAATTTTCTAACCGGGGCGGCTGGCTCAGGACTCCAGCCTGTCCCCAGAGCTGGGGCCCACGGCTGGGCTCAACTCCAGCGTTATTGGGAAGGGAGCAGGCTCAGCTGGGCCCGAAAGCCCCCGTGAAGGGTGGCCACCATCGAGACTGTGCTGATTATGGCCAGAGCCCGTCAGTCGGGTTTCTACCATCCAGCTGATTCCCCAGCTTTGAGAAAATCCAGCAGGGCAAACTCAAAGTCTCTAAAGAATTCCTCACGGTACAGAAGAGAATGTGCTGCAGCCTTTCATCAGCCAGCAGGCTTCCCCGGGCCTGCAAAGGATGGTTTTATTTGTGTTTAAAAAATGATTTAAAACCAGTTTCCCAAGAGCACAAATCCTGTCTAAAGCACCCAGCACACCTGGCTAGAGCTGAACGTCTGTGTCTGAGCTGAACGCCTGCCTGGTGGGACCGTGCTTTCTTCGGGTTGTTTTCTTTTAATATACTCTTCACAGCCGGAAGAGAAATCCCTTAGTCCTTATCACCTTCCCGCCCCCAGCTCCCAGCACACACACACACACACACACACACATTTCAGGGACTGATGGACTGAGGTTCTGACCCAGGCTCTGCCACAAACTGGCTGTGTGGCTTTTGTCAAGTCAGTTAATTTCTCTGAGCCTAGTTTTCTTCTCCCAGTGGCCTGCAGAAGTTGTGGTGCTTGAAAACAATAGTTGAAAAATGCTTCTAAAAAGTAGAGATTGTATTTATTCATAGGCTGATGGGTGCTTAGATTTATTCATTCATTCATTCCACAAAAATATTTCTTGGGTGCCAACTATGCGTTAAGTTCTGGGCATGGTGAGTGGAGACGGAGCCAGCACCCCAGGACAATG